CGGTCCAGGCCTACATATCTCTCACAGCAGTTACTGGGCACTTCTCACAGGTCTCCCACTCCCGCCCTCCTCCAGCCGATTTAACACGGCGCTTTCTGGTCCATGTTCTTATCCATCAGTGCTCACGTGGCGTTCTTGTGCATAATCCTCAGTGGCCACCCATTACCCACAGTATAAGGCACATTTTATCTAGGTGTGCAAGGTATCCTGAGAGTGACTTGAACTTGTCTGTGCGAACTTATCTCTCATTCCTCCTCAACACAGGCTCTCCACTCAAATGATCCCAAGCCCTTTTCCAATGTATTTCAGTTCACTGAATTGTTGATTGTAAGTTTGCAGGGATCCACAGATCCTCGTAGCCCTGCTCCCCTTTTGCTGAAGATGAGAAGTCTGTGCCCTGAGAGATTAGCTCTCTGGCTCCAGGTCACCCCGGAGGAGTGGAAGGGCTAGGAAGGGTGTCTAGTCTTCAACTACACACTCTATACGACAGATGCCACTGGGTATCTCTACCGCGATCAAGAGCAACATTTACTCCACTTCTTTGCCCAGTTGAGGGGTATTATTCAAAGCGTCAGTGGGAGAGCATCTCATTTTGTGTATGACTCATCTTCATTCCAAGATTAACATGCTCCACTTTTATTCTTCACCTCCCCCTCAGTTTCACATCCAGCAGGAGCCCTGAGAGTCTCTGCGCCCTGCGCACCCACCCCCTGCTCCCGCTGCCCTCGCCCCTTCCAATCTGCACTTTTCCTCCTGGCCCCAGGCTATCCCACCACCCTCAGATTCCAATGGACCCTTTGGTTGGACTTTGGTTCAGGAAAGGCATGTCTTCCTGAAATATCCCTCTGATCTAAGTTGAAAATAGAAGAAAGAAGAATACTTAAGTAACAAGCAGCAGATGCACAGGAACAAGTGTCCATAGGCTTCCAACCCTCTGTTAAAGTCCAAGTATTAGAGCAATGTGTATGTATTTCTAAACATATGTATTTTATTTCAACTTCCTCCTTTTCAAAAGAAGGGGGGATTCTTCTGACACGCTGGGATTTTGTTGAACAAAATAGACCTGAAGATGAACGTACCACTGGCTGCAACTTTAGGGGATGTTTTTATTGTGCCAAGATCTTAGGTTGTGAGCTATTTTTTGAAACACGCTTTGACCTGTATAACTTGAGCCTGCTTACCTCAAAGTGCTAGTAAAACACTGAACTATTTGCAGATGGAATGATATGATGAGTGGGAGTTGCTTCAAAATAATCCAGGATGGGGTGGGAAAGTGCATATGTGGGGGGTGGACGGAGCAAAATTGGCTATTCATTGATAAAATTCAGAGGAGAGGAGGGGCTTCTGTACCTTTTTCTATAATTAAAAGTTTTGAAATGCTAGTTGCAGTTTCCAGAATTTGCTTTCTACTCCCCTCCCCCATTTGTTTCTCATTTACTCTGCTTCTTCCAAATCTGCCCTTTCTGAAAAGCCAGCTCAGGCGGGGCACCCTTAAATAAAAGCTTCCTGATTACTTTAATCACCTAAAATGCCAGCACCATTCAGCCCCTGAGTGTGAATTTCCTTGCATTAACCTGTGTTCGTCTTGTAGCCGCATTGGTCTGGACGCTCATTAAGGGAAGAGACTGCACCTTACACTTTGGGGTAAACCCCACACTGCCTGGCCTGCAGCTGGACTCAGTCAGTGCTCCCTACCGGATGGACAAGGGTTGTTGGTAACGGGAGAGACTGGTGGAAAGTGTCACTGTAAAGAATAGGCTGTAGATTTGTCATATATTTTCCTTTAAAGCTCTTCTACCTAGAGTTCGCAATATCTTTTTCACCTTAAGGAAGAACTGGCTTAAGATAAAAATTTTCCCCCAGTTGAAGCATTTCTTGATGGATAGTGACTCAAGAGCCACTGATGCAAATACCTGTGGATAGTTTACCCCAAAGGGGACTTAAAGCAATAAAATCTTAAGTGCAGAGATAATCTTAGAACTCTGCATCTCCTCCCATTCATTGCGCAGTCTAATTAAAGGAGCAGGTAGGGTGGGAAAGTATCAGGAAGAAAATGTCAGTTGTTAGCTCTCAGAAATTTGCCCGGGGAGCCGTATAAGAACCGTCTCGTTTTAGGCTTGTCCACGCTGGTTTAATGCAGGGGTGGGAGCCAAATTCAAAAGGAATCTCTCTGGGTTGCAGTTTGCTTACGAGTTCCCGCATGCGCACTGATCTTTTAGCACTGGGGCTTCTTTTCAGACCTGGGGAAGAGCCACTACAAAGGTGGGACAAGTCCCAGAAAAGTTTCTCCATCTTTCTTCTTTCACTAGGAAGTAAGGGGGATCACCCCTATAATAGGGCTGTCCCCCAGCCCTAAGTCCTCCTGGGAAGGACTACCATAGCCTCCCTCTGAATCAGATTTTACTTTAGTAAACAGCCCTCAGAATCAGAAAAAGCCCTTCCATCAGCCTAACCTGAGAGCCTTCAGCCTGCAGGTTCCTATGGTCATGGATGCTGCCGCTCCGTAGCTTCTGTATGGGCATGCCTCGCTTCATTGCCCTTGGCTTGACTGTGCTCTGCAGATATACCATTTCTGTTTTAACAAATTCAAGGTTTGCGGCAACTCTGCCTCGAGCAAGTCTGTGGGCTCATTTTTCCAACGGGCTCAGTGGATGGTTGGCATTTTTCAGCAATAAAGTATTTTTAAATTAAAGTATGTACATTGTATTTTAGACATCATGCTATTGCACACTTACTAGAGTACCGTGTAAGCATAATTTTTATATGCACTGGGAGGCCAGACATTCACGAGGCTCGCTTTATTGTGATACTCGCTTTATTGCAGTGGTCTGGAACGAAACCCGCAACACCTTCCGTATGCCTGTGTTTGCATTTCATTGATTGGTCTGTCGGACGTCTCCAGGAAAAAACAGCCCCTCGAGATGATGGGTGAGGGAAGCACGATTGTCTGACAGGCAGGCAGGGCAGAAAAGAGCCAAAATACAGAACGGTCTTCCTCTGCTCGCTGACAGGCTCCCCACAGAGCCTGTCTGAGTGGGCCTTTCAAGATTTCCCTGGAGCCGACCCTTCAACAGAACAAGTGAGGCCTCGCAGGAGAGGAACACTGTTCTCTCCATGAAACACGAGGTGGGAAGGTAGAAAGAGTAACAGCAAGAGAGAGTTTAGTTAGACATAAGGAAGAACTGTAAGGAAGTACAAACTTGAACCAGTAGGTTGGAGGCATTATGAAGCCTTTGCCCCCAGTCATTAGTCTTGGACGGTTTCATTATTCACCTGCAGTGCAGCAAGTGAACCAAATGACCTCTTGGAATCCCTTCCAGCTCTAGTGTCCTTTGATTCCAGAAACCCAGCAGTGTTCCCTTCTGCTCTGGTTGTACTCTGAACTCCAGGCAGGTCACCTTGGCTGGGCTTTAATCACTTGGTCTCAGCTGGAAAACACAGGTGGTTGTAATGGGTGACAAGTCCAAGCGTCCAGGTAGCTGTACAACTCAACGTTGCCAGATTGCTGCTAAGTAAGGCAGTGCTTCTGCGGTGGTTGGTGATGGTGTGTGACTAAGCTCCTGAAGTGGGGAGGTTGGGTAGGAGTTTTCCAGAGTATCTGAAGGATGTTTTCCTGCAGGAGGAGTGCATTTTAATGTTCTTTTAGTAGTGCTGTGAATAAGGGGGGGCTTCTTTTTCCAAAATGGAGTTCTAAGGCAGCTTACATTTCTTTTCCCCAACACCCTGAAGTGCTTTCTAACTACGGCATGAGTTAAACTTACACACGATGCTGAGCATGCTTAACTAATATTGTGGGCTGTGTCTCCTAGACCCAATGAAAATGCCCACATTCAAACTCAGTGGCTTCGAGAGAAAGGACTAGGAAAGGACAGCAGCTCTCGGAAGCAACAGCATAAAAGGGGACTTCTTCTACAAAGGCTTTGGGCGAACCGTGACTTTGAGAGCCAGGTTTTGTGAGCAAGAGACCGCAGACACAAACCACAGGGCATTAAGCATGCACGTACAGAAAACAGGGAGACGCACAACACACATGTCCCTGTCTCGTCTCTACAGTGGCATATGAAGGACAGCGGACCTGTTTGCAAATGGAGGACAGATATGTCTGACAGCTGTTACCCAAATGTTTGTTCGGCTGTGATATAAATCACTGAGCTGCACTCCCCGGCACAGTCTGGAGCCACACGCCGTGCTTCAGGTGGACCCTTGGGACCGTGAAGATGACTAGGCAGTTTGGGTAAGAAGAGCCATTCTGTACACTTCTCCTGGTAAAAAGAGCACCAGTCCAAAGTCAGGGGACCTGGGTGACAGTCCTGGCTCTTCAACAATGGTCACTGTCACCTTAGATAAATTGCTTTCTCTTTCTGGGTTTCAGTTCCCCATCTGCTAATTTAGAGATCAGTCAGTGGTTATTCAGATGTGGGAGCCCCTCCCGGACCCCTGAATCCGTGTCTCCAGAGGTGGGGGCTGGACAGGTGAAGTTTACAAAGCTCCCAGGGAGATTCTGATTCACATGCTTGAAAAACGACCGCGGGACCCAGAGGTTGCAAATTGTGTGATTCTCCAGGATTGAGAGGAAAGGAAAAAAATCAGTAGGTAGCCCCATAAAATCCACAGTTTATCACTGAACCCGGATGAGGGCACTGGGTCTCAAAGCGTGGCCAGGCTCACTGCCCGCTAGTGCGGTTTCTCTGGGCGGTCTTCGGGCTCCGTACGGAGCGTTTACATTGTATAATGAAAACGCCAGTACTCTCAAGCCTTGCATACGGTAATGAATAATTAAGATAATTCTATAATTACCAGGCGTGACCTCACCAGTTACCATTATTCAGATGGCATCTGCTGAGGACGCTTCTTTTCCCCTCTGGAGATGCGATCTGCAGCCTCAGACATTCTCCGAGATGGCCTCCAACAGAACCGTCTGGCTGAGCAGGAGATGCTGAGAAGTGTTACACTCACAACTCGCTTGTCATTCTGAGCGCTTTCCCTAGAAGGTCTTATACACATCCGTGAGCTGAGAATGCTGGGGAGAGCAAGGCAGCATTTGGCCAGGGAGCCCAGGAAAGCCCGGCCCCTGTCCTCTGGCCACAGCCCCTCTCCGTGAGGTCCTTGAGGGGATGGATCTCCTGCTCAGGGGAACATGGGTGACAGCAAAGGCTGTGGCTCGTGGGACATGGGCCCCAACCTCCGATGTGGAGCCCAAGGTCTAGGCTGGATGGAGCTCATGCAGAACCCCCTTGACTTAGGCATGAGGCAGCTTTTCCCTTCATCATTTTTCCATAAGTCCACATGGGAAGTCCTGGGTCTCACTATACCACGTGGAGCAGGAAGTCCAGGCAACAAGACAAGAGTACAAGAGGCAGGGCGCCGGGGCAAGGAGCCTTTGCTTCTCTACCAGGAGCAGAGCTGGTCCTGACTGCCCAGCCCAGGTCTCTTAGGTGGGGCAGTGGCAACCTCTTTGACTTGACAAATGGAAAATTCCAACAAAAGAATGCCAGAGAGCGTCTAAGAGAAGTCAGGTGTACCTTCCCCCACAGGACCGGCCAAAGAGGAGAGAATGATGGCCCACCTTCTACTCAAAGCAGCTGGGAAGGTTCCTGAGAAGAGAGCCTGGCCCTCACAAGGACTGCTCTCTGGGGTGAGTTCCCACCAAGTACACCCTTCTTGTGTCTTTTCCCCTGTATTCCTAGGATGCGTGTACTTCCTGACACATCGTGGGTCCCAGGTGCTTGTTTGGGGCTGAATGTCTGTGTCCCCTGCCCCTCCCCCCAAAGTATATGTTGAAGCCCTAACCCTCACTGCAATGGCATTTGGAGAGAGGGCCTTCTGGAGGTCATTAGGGTCCATGAAGTCACGAAGGTGAGGCTTCGTGATGGGGTAAGTGCCTTTACAAGAAGAGAGCTGGCCATCTCCGTCTCAGCATGCACAGAGAAGAGGGCCCAGGAACAGACGGCGAAAGGGCAGTCACCTGCAAGCCAAGGGGAGAGGCCTCAGAATGAAACCAGTCTTGCCAGCACCTTGATCTGAGACTTCCCAGCCTCCAGAAGTGTGAGAAATAAGTGTCTGTGGTTTAAGCCCTTCAGTCTCTGGTGTTTTGTTCTGGCAGCCTGAACAAAGACAGCGCTCAGTACGTTTTAATTGGGTGACTGAAAGACTGAACAGCTGAAAAGCTTCCCATGGAGGTATATTAGGATGTGTATAACACTGTAATGTCCTTTGAGATGCAAAGGATGCCCAACTCAAACATGTTTAAGCAAAAACAGACCTTACTCGGCCATGTAACCGAAGTGTTGGGTATTAATCTTTGGCCACGGCGCAATCAAAAGGCACTGACATTGTCTTCAGGAATGTTTTTCTCTTCCTCTCTCTCTCTCTCTCTCTGCCTTGCTCTGTGTTGGCTTTAGGCTCGGCCGGATTTCTCCAAGCTTATCTTTGACTAGCTTAGCAACCCACGTTGGATTGAAAGTGAGCACTGCTTCCCCAATAGCTGCAGCAAGTCCTGCAGCGGATTCTCACTGGATTGACTTGGGACGACGAGTGCACTTCCTGAATGCCCTTGTGGCCAGAGAGCTGGAGGTGCGGAGGGCTTCTGTGCTCCTCCCCAGGCGCTGGAGGGTGAGTCTTACCGGAGCTGTACGGCTTCAGGAGGAGGGATGGCTCCCCAGAGGCAAACCAGGACCCCTTACCTGAAAAAAGGCACTAGATCCTGAAGCCACAGGAACCACAGGTGGCCAGCACAGGTACTTTGTGACTGTCATGGATTAACATGAACAGCACAGCCATAAACTAAGATTTTGTTGATACATCTCTGTTAACGTTAATCTTGAAGTTGATTATTTTGCTTTCATTGAATCAATTGGAGATAAGAAAATAAAAACAGGCTTGACTTTCATACTAAAGCCTTAGCCAATAAAATCCTTTAAAACTGAAATCCTTTCATTTTCTTCTAGTTATATAAGTAATACTTGTATAAAAATATTTCAGAAAATACAACAAAGTATGAGGAAGAAAATAACCTTCCCTCATAATCCTAAAAAAATTAACTACTAAAATGTTTTCTATAACCTTGCAGACTGCTTTCCCATTTTGCGTATTATGTATTGTATGATCTATTTTACAGAATGTGTTTTAAGAAATATATTTAAATGTTGAACACTGTTTCATGTTTATAAACCTCTAAACTCTTCTAATAAGTACGTAGAATCACACTGTTTAATTGGTGAGCGTGAAAATAGTTTCCAGTCTTTGACTCTTATACACAGGGCTCCCGTGAGCAGCCCTTGTGAGATTCAAATGTGATACGTCTCTAGAAGTGAACTTGCTGTGACCAAGGGTATGGGTAATTTTAATTATGGTGTATGTGAAAACTGGCTGTTTCTGTGGTTTGCCCATTTTTCTATTTTCCTGTGGATTCGCAAAAGTCCTTTATGTATGAAGGCTATGAGGCTGAGTTCCTCAGGTTCCCACACAGGAGTTTGTTCGGGGCTTGCCCTTGGGGTCAGCAGCTGAGAGAAGATGAGTAAAGCAGGCCCTTTCCCCTCTCCTTTAATTCCTGAGCTCTTTTCTGACCCTGGCAATTGGCCTTTTCCAGAACATTATGTAAATGGAATCTTACAGTGTGTCATCTGTAGCCTGACTGCACTCAGCGCAGTGTCCGTGTGATCCATCCATGTTGTCACATGCATCACAATATTCCTCCCTTCTGGTTGCTGGGCAGTGTTCCCCTGTGTGTCTGTACCTCAGTCTGTTAATCCATTACCCAGCAGAGGGATGTGTGAGTGGTGAATAAAGCTGCTATAAGTATTTGGGTTTTGTGTGCATACATGTCCTCATTTCACTTGGATAAATATGTAGGAGCCGGATTTGTGGGTCACCCTTTTGATGACCTCACATATATCTGAGCACTTGTAATGTGCGTTTATGTATGACAGGGAAAGGGACTGCCTCATCACCTTACCCCTCTTCGAGTTTTCTCTTTCTCTTCTTCCTCCTTATTTGTATCCCATTAGGATATCGACTGAAGTTGTTGATTGACTTGTGTAGAAAGCCAATGATTTTAAGTTCTTATACCTCTTACCAAGGCAGTAAGTTCCTAAAACTAGACTCCAAGCAGCCCCACTATCTGACAGACAATTTGTGATTTTGCTCATTGTTCCACTGTTCCAGACAAGAGCAAGTACCTGTAGCCTTAATGAATGTAATACCAAGTCATTTCTTTTGTACACAAGGCACCCAAATCCAGATGGGACAAATTCCTCTGAGTCAGGTGAGTGCACCTGCATGAAACTAGTGGGCAGAGGACGGACAGTCAGGTCACCAGAAAAGCATAAGTAATCCTGGGAACCACCACTCATTGTTCTCAAGGGCATTCCACCCTCTTTGGAATGTCCTCACTCTGACACATAGCTCAGCATGAATCATGGAGAGAATGCATCCCATTAGGATGCTGGAATTTCCAGGTTGGAAGAGACCTCCAGAACTCCCCCGGCTCCTTACTGGGAGACAAGATTAAGCATAAGAAACATACATACACTTTCCAGCCTCCTTCAATGGTCACTTCCAATGTGTATCAATCCTCACCATCTGTGTGTCTTACAAAATCTCTTGTTTCGAACACATTTCCTCCTAGCCTTTCCTTGAAATGACACCAGCAAACTCTTGCAGAACTAGAACTACCTGTTCAAAGGCAGCCCTGAGCACTTGCTTTCAGCGGGGTCGGGATTCAATTATGTTGTTTATCCACTTAGGCACACTAGTCTCCACCACCTCAGGGACTTCCTTTTAATTTGTTTGTCTCCCTTTTAATTGGATACGCGGAGTGAAATGAGGTGTCTCTTATGAAAGTGCCTGCAAAGAGGAAGTCACTGCAAATTCACCAATGGGGCATTCTCCACAATTTGCCAACAGTAAAGGGACACAGAGAAGAATCTACCCTTCCTGTCACTCTCTTACAGCTCTGCTGCAACTCTGTGCCCCAAGTCAGTTTTTATTTTAAGGGTTCCCAGGGCACTCTGGCTTCCTGACTTTGTAATATATCTGTGGTTTTCAACCAAGAGCAGCGATCAATCCCCAGCAGTTTTCAGGTAGGATGTTTATTGAGTCATCCATGCTTTCATTCACACTCTGAGTTGAAATCACGCACCTGCTTTGTGTTGGAAAGAAGATCATCCTTGACATTCAGTTAACTTATAATCGGTTAAAAACTGGGGTTTGGAGATTAAGAATGAGGACTCTGAAGTCAAGCTGGGGATGGCTCCACCTTTTGTGGGGACTATAGCTGAGACAGTTTGGGGCCACTTTAAGAAAAAGAATAGAAAATCACAAATACAAAATTAGGCGCAGGGCCTTGCGAGGGGGCGTGTTAAGTGAAGGGCCCTAAAACCTCAGTTCTTGGTTTCTGAGATCTCTCCTGAGCCAGGCACGCTTAGGTCTAACCCTCCACTGTGTGATCTCAGGCAAGTGACCGAAGGGCTCTCTGCTCAGGTCCCACATCTGCAAGACGAGAAAAACAGTAAGATGATAAAATGGACTCCATCATGTGGTGGAGGACTCCAAAGATGAGAACGAGAAGCATTTACCTGGGAGTCTGGCCCGTGATCGGGGCACAGTAAAGTTTAGCTGTGATTAGGAGCATAGTTATCATTCCGAGCCTTCAAATAGTAGGACTGCATCACCACGAAACCTAGCTCCCTGAGCAGAATTTAGGAAAGAGAAAGAGGGAGAAGTTCAAGTTCACACATTCTTGCTAATCCAGCTGCTCTGTGGTACACATGTCACGTGAGCAGGAAGCCAGGCCCTCACCACACTACAACCGCACCACATACAGCGAGTGGCAGGCATTACACATCTCCTTCTCTGACAGCTGATTCATGCTGAGGTCACAGAGCACTTACCTTCAAAAGCAGTATATTAATATCCAATTGTGCAATTAAACCAGAACTGTCTAGTTTTGCTTTCCTTCGGTGAAATTTGTTCATTCAGCAAAACTGAGAAGGATAAATATAAACTAGCCTTTCTTCCCTCAATGTGTCAGGAGTGGGTGGGTGGTAATAAAACAAGAAAGGCCATTGGGAAACTATGAAATTACATCCTTTGTTATTTGCACAGCACACTCCTCTGGTTTTGACGCCATGATGTCTCTGCAAGGTAGGTAAATATATGTTTCCATATTGCCAGTTTACAGATTTTTAACTGGGCATTCTAACTACATTTTCCTCTTTTGTTCAAGGCTGAAGAAAAAAAAATCCTTTACCCCTCCCAAAAAAGAAGAGGGAAATCATCTGTCTCTCAGCCTGCCATGGACATCAGCCGGGACAGTTAGGTGCTCCCCACATCTCCCACTGAGGGAAGAAGACAGGGCGGTTGGAAAATATATCGATAAACAAGTGAGCACAGCAGACCACCGCTGCTTCCTCCCTTTGAAACGTTCTTTTGTCAATCTTAGTGGATTCTGAAGCCCGAGGTATCCAAAGTCTGATCAATGAAATACGATTATGCTTCAGTCAGCTGGGATCAGTAGCTGCAAGGAGTGGTTAGAAGACAATGATTTGGTTATCCCATAATTTCCAATAGCCACCTCTAGCCACCCCAAATAGCCTTACAATCTGAGCAGACAGTGTACTTCCTGTGCAAACTTGGTTTCAAACAAGCTTCCAGCGCCCTTCCCATCCCCCCCCCCACACACAGATTGCTGGTGCTTAATCCTCTCCTGTTCTGGTGATAGAAGTTAATTGAATTATCTAAAGGTTAACCAGAAAAGCTTATTTGTTTCAGTCCTTGTACCAGAAAATCATTCTGAAGATGTCTTCATTTATTTCTCGCCTTGGTAGATAGAATGACCCTAAGGTAAACTTTCATGAAACAGGGCCGAGCATTGTAGCCCAGCCCAAGGGCTGATGCAGAGGAGGTATTCAATAAGTGTTTGACAATATAATTAGCTAATGAGGTAGGTTGTGGAACAAAGGCAATGTCTAAACAGTTCAGCAATTTCCCCTAGTCTTGTCTCTATCTGTGTAACTGACATGAAGCATAAATTACTTGAACAGAATAAAGATACATGACAAAAATAACTCCCAGTGCTTGGAGTCTAAAGCTTTCCTTATGTTGGTTCATTTAAAGTCAGCAGTCTTGCCCTGGCTGGTGTGGCTCAGTGGATTGGACCTGAGCCTGTGAACTATAGGATTGTGGTTCAATTCTTGGTCAGGGCACGTGCCTGGGTTTTGGGCCAGTTCCCAGAGGGGGATGCTTGAGAGGCAGTCATACATTGATGTTTCTCCCCTTTTCTCCTTCCCTTCCCCTCTAGAGATAAATAAAATCTTAAAAAAAATAAAGAAAGAAAAGATAAATAAATAAAGTCATCAGTTTTGTGGAAGAGATATTGCTTTGTAGGAGTATTTATATCCAAGTTACTTCAAAAGATGTTTCAGGTGCTTAAAATAGACAATAAATATGCATTAGAAAAAGAAGTGTGTGAATAATCTATTTTCATTCACCATTCATCAAATATTTCTTGAGCATCTGCTGTGTGCCAACGTCAGGGGATTCACTGGTGAGCAGAGCAGGTATGGCCTCTGCCCCACGGAGCCACAAATGCACGCAATACAAGTGTAATTACAACTTGAAATTAGATTCCGATAGGGACACAAGTGGAGGGGTGGCTATTTAGTGTAGGAGGATTGGAAAGTTCTCTTTAAGGAATGACATTTAAGTGAGACTTGATGTAAGAACAGGAATTAGTCAGGCAAATATCATAGAGACTATTACCTACCAAGGGATCAGCGTAGGAGAAGATTATGAGGGAGAAAGGAACCGGGTGCAAACAATCTGGGAACTTTGTGTACAAAGCGCAGACAGCAAGAACCAGGCAAGGCTGGGCCAGCTCACGCAGCTCTTGGGGTCCACGTGGGAAACTGTTCATCAACCCTCCCACTTCCATTTCACTCCCTTTCTCCCCAACAAAACCCTGGGCGTGTTCTGTGGAGCCTCCACCTTTACTCAGCCCAGTGCATGAGAGAACACTGATCCCATCCCCAGCTCAAGGGCTGGCTTCTGATTGGTCTAAAGCATCGATAAATGGCATTTCATTGTGGATTCTCACTGGTGCACATGATCTAAAGTGGCTCAATCAGCTTGCAGAGAGAAGCTTAGACTCCGTGCCTGGGAAAATGTTCTCTGTCTCTTTTCCACCATTCCAGTCACTGAACCAACAGAGGAATCTGCACTTAGGTGAAGCCAGAGCTGAGTGCAGCCGAGCAGAGGGGTGGACAGAACCTGGGTTCTAGGTAACATTTTGGAGCTGCTGAATCAACCAACCTCAGAGACTACCGAAAGTCCCCGTTGTTTTCTTGTTAGTTACAATCTTTGAATTGCTCCTTGCATTCTTTGGACACTACCATGGAGCTCTCCCATATCTCTGGTAAATCCCTCGATCTCTTTGCTGGGTACCCCTTCCACTTTCCAATCTCTAAAGACGGTTGCCTTGCAAGGTTGCTCTGAACTTCCCTCCACACTTTCTGGGGCATCTCACGCATGCCCACTGCTTTCTTCTTTACTGAGGGTCTGCCCACCAAGTGATGACATCTCCCCTGTGTGATGGTCCAGCTCAAATAGCTCCAGTGAACTCGCTGGCAATGCAAACAAGTCCCAAATTAATGTAGAGTTGATCCTTGAACAACACATGTTTGAACTACACAGATCTACTTATACATGAGAGTTTTGGGTTTGTTTTTTTTATTTTCAATAAATATAGTGTCACTGTCCACATCCCTGGGTTTTGTAGCTTGAATTCAGCCAAGTGAGGACAGAAAACAATATTTTCCATCCAGTTGGGAATCCCCAGATGCAAATGCCGACTGGATGCATTGTACAACACCATGTTATATAAGGGACTGAGCACCCGGCAGGCTGGGGGTCCGCAGGAGCTCTGTCACCAGTATTTCACAGATACTGAGGAACAACTGCAGTTACGTTTCAGGGGAGTCAAAAGGTATGTGCAGATTTTCAACTTTAAAGAGGGTTGGTGCCCCAGCCCCTCAAGTTGTTCAAGGGTGAATATAGTATCTTTTTAGAATCAGCAGCTACTCTTGATTTCCCCACTTAAGAAATAGTTGCTTCAAATGTGTTTGAAGAAACTGAAAGGCGTTTCCTGGGCCCGAGAACAGGAAGGGCAGCAGGAGGCGGACGGCCTGCAGGGACCCGGGCAGCCGGCCCCCGGCTTGCTCCCAGGAGCCATATCTGCCTCTGATTCGTTCTTCTCCATGTTCCAGACCGGCTTCCTCCCTGCTCCTTGCTTATGTGGAAGAAAGACACCAGTAGCAGGTCTCCAACTGTGCCGGTCCCATCTTCAACCTCCCAGGGAGAGACAGACGTCACTTTTCCAGTTCTACTGCCAAGTTGAAGAGTTTGGATTCTCCCATCTCGGGTCAGGTGCACCCAGGCAGGGGTCCTGTGTTAGCACCGTGGCCTCCATGATAACCATGATAACCACGGAGGAAGGGTGGGGAGTGGGCAGTTTCCAGAAGGAGGGAAGAGTCCATTTGCAGACATAGGAGGAGGCCAGGCCACCAGAACAATGGGGTTGCAGGACAAGGCTCCTGCCTGTGAGTGAGAGGACAGTTGCTAGAGAAGAGGGTTAAGGATGTGGGGGCAGACGCTCCAAAATTTCATCCAGGTTAGAGACCCAGGGGTCATTTTTGACTCCCCCTCTGCCACCATCCACCCACTTCCCCGATGTCTAATAAGATGCTCATTTCTATGGCTTCTTCTTTTAACATATTTTGCGGCTTTCTTACTGTAGTTCCTCAGTTTCAGTCCTCACTGCCTGAGCTCCTGTGTTCTCCACTAAATATACTACTTTGCCAGACTTGCCTCTTCTCCTGTCCATTCTGCGGTCAGATGAGTCTTAACATACCTCCTGGAAGAGGTTGCAGCCCATATGTAAAACCTTCAGGGTCCGGTCCCTTGGCTGCCTCTAGAATTAAGTCCCCACCCTTTGGCTGGCTATTCGGGACTGTCCCCAGCTGCCGTCAGCATCACAAATTGCCTCCTCTGTGTCTGTGACCTCCAAGGTCTCCCCGTGGAGTCTTCCAGCCGTGTCTGTGCCCACAGTGTGATTGCACCCACACCCAGCCTCAGGAGTAGGGCTTGAACTGCTGGACCCACCAACATTGAATCCCCATCACCCTGACCCTAGTGACTGGTCAGAAAGAGGCACTGAGCTAGGTCCCCTCCAGCCAGCACATTCTCCGTGCAAATGTCATTCATTGGCTCCGGGGATGGCATGTGCGCCCAGATGATCCACCAGAGTGAACCTCAGGACTTCCGTGCAGGTCAGGCTGGGACATGGAGGCCCTTTCTCCTCCTATATGTGTGTAAAGAAGCTTATATTCCTAGGGCTGCTGCTGCCAGCCATCTTTGTTCTCAAGCATAGCCGGAAGCAGGGCAATTTGCCTAAACACAATTTTCCGAAAGCCAACATTTCTGAATCAAATAAAAAATACATGCCTCTTCATTGACTTTTTTAAAAGGAATATTCCTTAAATTATGTTTTTGGCAAATTGGTCACTCAGCACACTGACTTTGAGCCAGGCCGAAAGGTTCAGGGTGCCAATTTCTTCGGAAGAGTGGGAAGGCATAAATGTGAGGTCCTTGCTGTGGCCTTTGAACTCTGGATCAGACCTTGACTGAAGGCTGCCACACCTGCCGACTTTTCTCAGACATGAGTCAGTCTGTGGCCGTAGGAGTTGAACCTGGATTTGTTTGGGTTTTCTGTTAGGCGCAACCGAAAGCCTCCAACGGGTCCAACAATGTGCCTTTCTGAATATTCTCAGATTCCAGTCTGATCCTCAGCTCCAACCAGCAGTCTACCCTCGTTGGCCCAGGAACGCTTCCCGCTTCTCCACGGCCGTGCCGGTTCCCTTAGCACGCCTCCCTGCAGCAGCCCCTCTGCCTGGTCCGTGTCCTCCTGGCCTCCCAGGCAGGACCCCCGCTGCCCGCCTCGGGCTGCTGCAGCCCTGCATGCTCCGTGCACTCCAGCTTCCTCGGTCCTGAAATCAAAAACCCACTCAAGTTTCTTCAGAAGGAACTGAGGCAGCTCCCCGAGTCATCTGTCCTTATCTCTCTTCCAGAGCCAGCTGGCCCCTTCCTTCTCACACTGCCTTTGGCTCTGTGTCCGCTCTGGCCCCCTCTCCGAGGATGGGCAGCCTCTTTGTCAGAGCTGTTGTTGCCTTGTAACGTGGGTGTACTTCTGCCCCCTCACGACCTGCTTGCACCTCAGGGGGTCCTTGCAGCTTCTGCTCCCTCCACGTTTCTCGTTTTCTCCGTGGGTGCAACACAGGTTTCCTAGAAAGAATCTGGAAAAATGAATCCTTCTCCGCCAGGCCACGCCGGGTCTGTGTAGCCTGCAGTGGGCCAGTTACCGAGTCGAGTAGTCACCCTCGGTCCGAACGCTCGTGGGCAAGTGAGGGGTGTACGGTCCCATCGGGCTGTGCCTTCCATGGGGCTGAGGGGCGGGGGTGGTCTGGCCATTTAGAAATGGACTGTGGGCCCAGCAGGAGCTGTGCCACCATCTGGCAATCAATCACACACCCCATTTGTGCGCTGCCACACTGAGTCATTTAAAATATCATTTATTATCTAAATGTGCACGTATTTGTTTCTTATCCCTTCAACTAGATTATAAATGTCTTTAATGATAGAAATGGTGCCCTTAAATGTCTGTAATAAAATGATAATGATAAGTAATAGTTACCGGGCACTTAACATGTACCAGGTATAGTTCTAACTGCTTTATTGAAAAAGCCCTCAGTCTAAGCCTCACCTATCGCTGTTCCCACTTTATAGATAAGGAAGCTGAAGCCACATCACAATCAGTCAAAAGGTTCTGATGTGACCCCAGCCAGTTCGATTCCAGAATCGCACACGGCCCCTCCTCCAGCTGGTGAGCTCTGCTTGTTTATTGCAATCACAGGTCCCACACTGAAAAGGAAAAACAGCCTGTCTCTCTGTGCTGGCTTAGTTCTCACTGGCCTGTTTGTTCCAGGAAGACTTACTTTTTGGGCCAAAAGCCTGTCTCTCCCAGTCAGCACGCTAATGCCAGAGAAATATCGACCGAGCAAAAGATAATCTGTTTTCAAACCAAAAGCTCCCTCTTGGCTCCATTGGAGCTCATCGGCCAGGTGCCCCTCCCTCCCCGCATGCTCTTCTGGCACTGCTTTGCGGAAATCTGGACGCAGGGCCACGTGCAAGGTGGCTTCTGCAGGCATGAGCAGTTG